ACTATGATGAGAGTATGAAGTGGAAGTCAAAATTGCTTACTATCGAAGAGAGTCCTGACGAACGCGCACAAAACAACATTAGTGGAAAAAATAATGCCACGGGTAAGTTCATTCGAAGAAAGCTTATCATTGTCAAGAGAGTACATAATATCTAAAGCTATGCAAAGTGTGCATAGTTAGTCACATATAGGTGATCTAGAAATATTGTTTACATACTTTCGAAACATTTTCTGTAAAGAGTATCGCAAATTTTCTGATATGAAAGGTACAATATATGCTAGAGTTTCAAGAAACAATCTGTTTTAGCAAAACATGCCACATCACATTCAATGACACACAATTGCCATATGTACGATCAGCGAAAAGCATATAAGGAGCAAAATCAAGCCTTTGAGGACCGATGGAAACAAAACATCTAATCCGAGTACTGGAATCTATTGGATATGATTCTGTAAAGTAGGCTGTAGTCTTGTTTGAAGCTATAAGTAACAAAAGAACCAACCCGATTCACAAATTTTAATGAGAAAAATTACATTACCAAATAGTAGCTTGAAAAAAAATGGGCAAAAACTTATACTACGTAGTGTAGATTACCATGTAATTCATAAAATAGCTTGTGTTGAATGCAACGATCTGAAGTAGCTCTGTATCTGTTAGAGCTCTGATTCCTGGGATATTTTCATATTTTTACGACTTTATTGCCTTTATCGATATAGTCGATGATAAGTAGATTTTTTCTATTTTGGCGCACAAATAGGACTAGTCGAAGAAACATTCTGTTATACTAAAGATGAATCTCCTTTCCATCATCACACAAGAAATCAGGATTCATCCTCAAAAGAAATACTTCTACAGTCAACATTCTTCTATTTAAATCTGCATAGTTATTTATATACTTGTTGTGAATCTATATACCTTGAATATGTTTTCATGAGTGCCTATTCAATAATCCAGCACTGCTTAAAAACATGTAGAGATAACTGATAAATTTTCATAGCTATTTAAATAAGTGTCAGCTATTTGTTTAAAGTTACTGATTATTTTGAAGCAGAGTGTTGAAAAATTGTATGCACGCATAAACGATTTAAGTAGCTAAACCCCTTGTAACAAAGTTTGGTTTATGATTCTGCATCAAGTTATGAGCTATTTAATCGTAGAGTTACTAAAAAGTTATTATAGATATTGAAAGGATATGATAACTATTCAACAAGAAAATAAGATATACAATTCTTAAATAGTAAGTCATACAATAAAAGAAAATACCGAATTCTACCGGAAATGAATCAGCTATTTAAATAATTTAATAGAGCTTTACAATTTTTTTGAATGGCTGTTCAATATCTTTTAAATGGCTAAGATAATGTTTACAATGCGCTGGATTCAAAAATAATTATGAAGATTAAGTAGCGATGAAGCTTAATTAAAATTAAAGAATTTTTATTTAAAAAATATTCCTTTTAAGAAATTATGGAGATCAGTACGGCTGACATCGAGAAAATGATTGACAAATGGGAATCGGAGAAAAGAGAGAAAAAACTCAAATCTGACCGTCCGGTTATTTTGTTTGTCGGTGACTCGGGCGTTGGCAAGAGCTCATGTATAAAAGTGATGTGTGGAGTTACAGACGAATCCGCTCTCCTTCAGCTGAACATCACCGATCGTGGTCTATGTGGCACAGTAGAAAGTAGCTCTTACGATGCACGACTCCTTACAGCAATCGATGTCCGTGGAAAAAAGAGAGACGAAAGTGTAACTCACTATATAGAGTACATATCAAGCATTCTCGAAGGTCATAGCCAAGTTGACTTTATTATTGGCGTTGTGACCGCGTATGATGTTCATTATGGTGACCTGGATATATTGGTCGATTCGCTAAAGGCTATTTCCAGCAAATGGGAAAAGCCATTTATTGTGTTGATGAACAAGTTTGATCTAGTTGAAATCTTGGGGAAACAGGAACAGTTTCGTGAACGGAAAGAATATCTCGAGAAGAAATGTTCCGAAGCTCGAGCTAGTTATTCATGGAATCTCGTTGGACATGAAACCTTTAATCAAGGAGTCTTTCCCGTCGCTGCGGAACGAATCCCAGAATTAAAACGTGAATGTATAAGATGTTCAAATGAAGAAGCGTCTTCGTCAAGAAACCAATTGGATGAACTTTACGATGAAGATCAAATAAAAATGCTTGTTCCAAAATACGCTCGATACTGTCAGCAATGTAAAGTGGTTACTATTATGCGCTCACATCTTAGCGAAAAACTCATAAAGCAAATTGAGGCCTATGCTCAAAAAAGGGAAGCAACTATTGTCGATGAGCCAACTTCTGTTGGTCTGCGTTCAAGAGATCCAGCATTTATAACTATTCTATATCTCATGGCTGATACTATCAGTAAGGTATCAATCATTCAAAGTATTTGTAGGAAAATATCTGACCGCATTATCGCTACAGCTCGCATTATTGAACGCGAGGCTACTAATGTCTACGGACTGAGCGATGCCATCGAACGAGATCAAAAATTGTGCACAACTATTGCAGAAATCTTCGAGCTTACCGAAACTGGACTTGTTGTTGGCAAGTACGAAGGTGATCGCTGGGGCAAAGGCAACTTTTTCGACTATACGGTAAATTTTCTCCGAAAGCTTCTCAAGCAACCCGATCAAAAACGATCTCTATATATTGCCGCATGGGGTATTTACTATGCACGTAAATTTCGCGATGTTGCTTCAATGATCGTCGAACAATATGAGAAACATAGAAAAATACTTTCCGATGCGCGTTCGAATACCGAGATCAATGAGAAGAAAAGACTTAGTGAAGTTATAGCCAAGCAATGTATGCAGATATGCGCTAAATATACCGATGCAACACAATTGGAATACTTTTATTTCATATTAGCAAATGGAATGGGAAAAGCGTTAGAAAAATATATTTTAAAAGACGAAAACAAGTACTGAATGCTGATCTTGCAGTGATCGACAAATCCTCTAATCTGAAAAAAACTAACACACTTTCGCTAAAAATTACACTTTTGTTGTTTAATTTTTAAAAACACAGAGTTTACCAATAAAGATTTTCTTTATTAAATAGATTCATTTGCTATAGGTCCAATCAAATGCAGAAATTTACTTGTGCGTGGAAAAATTTAGGATAACCGATTGTCACGATCGAAAACTAGACATTAGATTTATAGAATGATTCGTAATCCGAGTTCAATTTTTGTTAAATTTCTTCTTAGTATGATGCCTACTATCGCTTCCTTTTTTTCTTTTTTCCCAGAGAGATTTTCAGCAATCGCTAGTGTATAATGGTTCTAAGAATGAAGAATATTAGCTTTTTAGAAATTTCTTTAAAAAAATAAAACAAGAAAAAAAAAGAAATAAAGGTGGCAATATGTAGATGATTCAATCGATACTGTGATGCTATATCATCGATTTTTTGACAATTCTTCATTGCTCTTTCTGTCCACGAATAAGAAATCCGCAGATTTCCGAGAACGGGCACAGCCACAGAGTAATCAAAATCCTTAATATTGTCTTAAATATCTCATCTCAGGTCAAAGAACCTGACTATACGATCTTGTACGAATTCATATGATAATCTCAAAGCCAGCATGTCTGATAACACCGTACAGTACGATTCTAATAAGATCTTATTGTATGATCTTGTAACAGCCATCTAGATCTTCACGACATCTTCTAATTCATCTTACAATTCAAACTTTTGCTCTACTACACGCTCTTCTGATCTTCAATATCCCATCACTCCCTTTTTTCTCTTCCTACTTTCCTCCTAGAAGAGGAAAGAGACTATTCTCTAACTTAAAATAATACTTACTATTGGTCATGTTAATCCGCTCAATCTGAATTAAAAAAAAAATAAATTTATTCTACAAGAATTCATAATTACATTTTTATATGATGTTGTTCTGCTAAATTATCAGTTTTGAAAAATAAAACTTATCGTTATAGAAACTATTTACTTGAGAAGGATCAAACATTACATCTTCTCTGATTAAACAAACTCTTATGAGATACAGATCTTCAAATTGTACAAGAATCTTATAGTAAGATATTTTTACAATGCCATAAGATCATACAGCATGAATTTAACGGTTTTCGATTGTCTGTCTTACCTTGTAAGATCTCATATGAAAGTCGTATGATTTTTTCACCTAGGGACAGGTAGAGAAGTTTTTATTCAGGAAGAAACAGTTCATTTATGGTCATGGAAGCAGCAAACTTTGATTCAATATATAAGTAAACAAATGTCATGAGATCATGATTTACCTCCTATGACAAGTAAAATATCAGGGAGACGCTTTCAAGAAAACCTAGCGTAAGATACATATTCATTCAGTTTTCATATTTCAGGCACATGTCAGATTGGAAAAAAATCAATAATTTGATGAAAATTTCCTAATTTCGTTTACGCTCAGCGTCCAGCAGAAGCGCCCGGCTTCGCTCGAAAAAAATTCTCGTACGCCGCTTTTAACTGACAAATGTCGCAGTGAATGGAGCCGGTAAGCTATCGATGGTTTCCCCATTTTCATTACATCAGTTGATAGTATTTGGAGAATATAGGTGTAAGAAGGAGGGTTAGCAAAAGTACGCTCTTTATATTAAACCCAACTCAACATTATTCACTATCCACTGGTAACCTATTTCAATTTCAGGAGTGAATATTAGCAGAACAGATTCGAATTCACTGCTAACTTTCTTGGCGTAGTAATTCTACTTAAAAATGAAAGTCAGCGTTTTTTGCAATGATGCTTACTAAACATGTTAAACAATGTTGAAGAAATTGCAACAGATGACTGAATGGTTTATTCCATGCTATTGAGAATATTTACTCTATGAAAGTAAATATTACCTTTGATAAAAGTAAAAAACAAAAGCAACATTTACAATAAAGACGATTGTAACTCTTATCGGGTAGATCAAATTAGTTTTTTGATTTTGTAAGTATAGTCACGGAACTGTCGTCTTGATCATGATCTGATTCAATGATGTTCCTCATTGGCAACAGCTATTTGTTGTTTTCGTTTGGCTACTCGTTTAGCAATACGTGATTCCTCTGGTCCAGATATTTCAATGCCTAAATCATCATCAGTTCGACGTTGGTTATCAGTAGCAGATGCAACTACAATCAAAAATGAATTATTTTTCTGTTGTGCACACATCAACACAATTACTCACCTGCAGCCTATGAAAATTATAAAAACCCAAAAATAAATTGAAAAAAACATGAAACATAATTTCGATTTTTAACTCACTTCTAATTGTTGTCGAGTTTCTACATCTTGAAGTGCAACCATATTGATTGGCCTGGAGGACGTCAATTCAGTAAGCCATGTACATGTGAGAATTTCATCAATAGTAATACGCTGAGCTGGATCCACTGTAAGCATTCGTTGAATAGTAGATTTAGCTTCTGGTGAGATATTTCGCCATTCAGCATCCGGAAATTCATAATCACCGGCTTTGATTCTATTCTTCATACCAGAACTGATCGTATGTCCACCTTCCGAAAAAAAAGGAGGATAACCACATAGAAGGATATACATAATCACACCCATGGACCAAATGTCACAGGCCTATTATACAAGAAATAAAACAACTGAAGAAACATTCTTTTAATTTCTCAAAAACCAACAGGAATCGAATTGTGTTTGAATTCATTAGATTGAAAGCCTTATTTTTGAATTTGTTTTTCTTTTTTTCTATAGACTATTAAAATAAAGCATGTTTATGTGATTACTTTGTCATATCTGTTGTGATACAGAATCTCTGGTGCAACATAATACGGTGTGAACCTAAACGAGAAAATCTAATGAAAGAATTCGATATTATCTAATTCATTTCTATACAATGGAGTACTCAATGGCAATGGTTCATTGTTTCCTTGAAAAGAGAAATAATAAGCAAAAGTTCATTTCTTTCTTGACTTCAATAAGTATCATTTTACCTTCTTTAGCAAATCCGAAATCACCAAGTTTAAGAATAGCATCATCGCTTTCATTGGTTAGGAGTAGATTTTCTGGTTTTAAATCACCTATGATCATAAATTTATTAGTTAATCAGATTTTTCCATTGTAAGACTACATACGATGAGCCTATAAATCGTGAGAAAGCCAATAAAAAACATATATACAGTAAGTTACATGAGAAAATCTTACCATATCCATTTTGTGTAAATGATTAACAGCTTGAACAATCATCCAAATATATCTAGCAGCATCTCGTTCAGTATATGGATTATCGCTTCGTTGTTGTATTCGATTGAATAATTCACCACCTTCCATGCTACAATAAAAATTCATTAAAAAGCATACATAGATGTACAGATCAAAGAAAAATCAACTGCACCATTCCATTACAATCAATATGCATCGCTGGGATTGGAACATATTTTCCTGAAATAATTCAAAAGATTGAATTGATCGTAGAGTAATGGAAGAGAAAAAAGTACAAGAAGCTCGAGCAAAATATTCTTACATAGACGTCCAGTATTTTCACAATGTATTGGCAATTTTCACATGCCTTTTTATGCATGATAACTTCTTGTCGAGTTTTGGCTGAATCTTTCAAGATCTATAGAAATTTAAAAAAACAGGTTGATATATTTATCAAAATAAATCAAAGATATACTTTAAGAGCACATTTTTGTCCAGTTCGACGATGTTCACATTTGAAAACTTTACCATTTATGCCAATACCTAATGCGTCTTTTGATATATCATAATCGTCTGAAATGGCGTTCCGATGTGTTGCAAATGGGAACGAAGCATAGTTATTCGAACTATTCGATCAATCAAATTAGATTCATATTTCTCATGAAAATCAAATAAATCGAGAAATCATACAGGTAGTAGTTTTACATTTATTAACACTATCGAACGTGTTGCGTAAACCGTTATGAATGAAACTTAATATGATTTTGCTTGAAATCCTATTCTTTTTATGTTATGTCACTTTCCTGTACGATGATTATTATCAAAGCAATCTTTTTTCAAGTCAAAAGCTTTTACGATTCATATAATTGAGTCATCTACGGCTATCAATACTTTCCAATGATGTGAACACAACAAGATAATATTAAAGAAAAAACGTTTTTAGTCTTGATGGCTTGGAATTCTAAATGACATTTAATGAAAAATACAACAATTGAGTTATTCTAATCATTCTCTGGGTTTTTAGACGATTAAAGAAAAATACTTCGTTTAAAAGATTATTTGAAGTGGTTCTTTTACCTTGCGCTTGTTATCGATCGGTTAGTGGCCATTGTTACGAGTAGCAATCGAGCACAGATAAGCAAAGAAGACGATTTGATGAACGATAAATAATAGATAATTCTGAATAATAAAAATAGGCAATGCGTTTTGGATCTGTAAAAACGTTCCTCTGAAATCAGAAAAATATTGCAAGTTTTCAATCAACATGCATTTACAACCGCAAGAAACTGTAAGGCAACTAAAGAAGAAAAAGAAAAACGTATCTCACGTCGAAGTACAGAACAGAGCATCAAAGACACGTGTAAAACATATTGCGTAGAAAAAATTATAAACGACAGCAACGATGATGAAATAGCAAAGAACGAAAAAAAATTGTAAATAGTAGAAGAAATTGTTGTTTTTTTTCCTAGTATGCGTCATGAAAATTCATTGTATTTTTCCAAATAATTGCAAAATCATACAATAATCATCGACAATATCCCTACTGAACGCAAATGAGACGTTGGTTTAGTTATAGAAAATATGGTTGTCACATCTATTAAACAAAGAACGAGGGTGTAGGTGAAGCTTCTCTGTCTATGACACTCACACCCTAAGAACGTGAAAATTCAGTAACTACATTGGAGTTGTGGGGAAAATATAAACTATCGTATATAGACTTTTTCAAGATCTTGATGCCATGCTCAACTACCCACAAATTTTTGATTATGCTACTACATGATAGGATGACAGTGAGGAGTGGTGGATAAGTTTGACGGTGCAACAGTTACAGGCTAGAAAGTAGAGTAGAGGTGCGTAAAAATCGAATTGATAAGTAAAAATTCAGTCACACTCTTACATCAAACCGTGGGGATATCGATTGAATTTTCACATGATTGATAATCTTTTGTCATTTTGAGTCTGAGATTTTGTCATAGATCTAAAGGAGAAAGATCTACGTTATCATTTTTCTGTTCATACGCAGTATACTACTTTTTCATGATCGAGAAGAATTATATTGATGTGACACTCAAATTCCATTCGATCTTTTTATTACTACTTCAAATCAATCAGAATAAGATGAATTAGTCATTTAGTTACCAAGGAGATGAGTTGACATTTTTAGCTTTTCTATAAAATTATTAGACAAAAGTTAAGAATATAACTCGAGTTGTCTATTTCAGACATCTTGATGTTTTTTTCATTATTTTTCAAACTTCAAAGTCGTATTTAAAGATAGTTCGATCAACAGACGCATTATCATTAAGGAAAAAAACTAGACACCTATGTAATCTAGAACAGAGTTTCTTTTCGTATTTATCATCATTGAAAATGATTTTTTGTATCACGGATACAAACACTCCCGTTCAAGGTACCTTGAATCTTGCCTCGGCTTTTGTTCTCATCAAGAATATCGTTGCCATATGGTTTACATATCTGAAGAAAAAAAGGAACGTCAAAGTTAGTGGCTAATCCAAAAGGTGATTCAAAAGTTTCGACCCCTCTCAGTAAATCGATGATATCTATAACAAACTTATATGAAGTTATTGATCAAATTATATCATTCTGTAGAGGACGATTGGAGCTATCATCTGAAAAAAAAGCAGTTCGAAATACATTAATCGCTTAGAATCTTATGGTCATTTTACTAATCTGGAGTGAAAATTTTTACGTTACATTTTTTGAAAAAAACAAAAAAAATTTTAATGTTTGAATCGTTAAATTCGAGCCAAACATTATTTTCTACATGTTTTTAATAGATATTTTTAGGTGGTTCGATAAAGTTGAACAATCTCGACAAATATATGAATATCAAAAAAAAAATTCGAATCCTCATTTCCAATATAAAATTCGATTGAAACCACGCAAAATAATAAAAATCTTATATATCTCTCATGAGATCATATGCTTAACTTTCAAAAACTTTAGTTGATCGACTATTAATTGATATTTCGAGATACAGTATTACATACTAAAGCTGAAAATACATCTTCTGAGCTGCCTGAATAGATGGAACAGTCAACCAACTAACACTTTTGAAAGATCAACTTACTCTCACTGATGTTTGATACATGAAATTTTTATTAGTTTTTCTGATTTTTTTAAAGTTTTATATTGGAAATAAGATCAAAAGTTTTGTAAACATACATATTCGTGTAGAGCTTGTCGAATTATCTCGAATCATGTAAAAATATCTAGAATACAATATGTTACTTAAGATGTTACAAACATATTTTGTTTTTTTTAAATCTAACGTAAAAATTTTCACTCCAGATTAGTAATTTGATCAAAAAATTCTAATAGATTTATGTATTTCGAACTGGTTTTTTTTGCACATGATAGCTCAAATCTTCCTCTACAAAATGATATAATTTGATCAATAACTTCATATAAGTTTGTTATAGATATCATCGATTTACTGAGAGGGATCGAAACTTTTTCATCATCCTTTATTTTAATCAATAAGTGCTAGAAGCAATAGGTAGCGTGCATTATTAAGTACAAGTAGATTCTAGCTGAGATAAGCTATCTACACACCAAATTACCATTGCATAAAAGTGCATTTAGCTTTCTTCTTTAAGAATCATGAAGCGAGGCGCTAGAACGATAGTGAATTCCGAAACCTTCTAGGATGTGAGTTTGGGCATCGAAATCCTCTTCCACTATACCTATAAACAACTTTAATCACACTTACATCCACCACACCTCATCTTGTTCTAGAGAAAATAAGCATGCAAAATGAAAGAATGCGTTGAAATGCGTTTTTTATTCTTAGTTTTTTTCACGGACAGACACATAGATTTCTTTTTTCAATACAAACCATTCGACTTGATTGACTATAATTACGAAACTATGACAAATAATACTTGAATACAGAGATTTACTTAGGTAGTAGAAAACGAATTTTATTTTCAATAGTATCTGTAAATAAATATCATGCCTGAAATGTTACTGAAACAAGGTGCGCTGATCATTTTAACAATTCATATTTTACCAATAGATAAATTACATTTAGTTACCTTCCTAAATGTCTAAGTCATATTTGTATTATATTTGACAAATCATTTTTCTTATCATAGAATGAACGTTGAGAAAAGTACATGATCGATATATTTGTTCCGTTCTCCCTTCTGTTTTCTTAATATGTTGGCTTATAATTTGACTTGCTTATATTTAATTGTATATTGTTGATTGTAATTGTTACTTTGACATTGTCCGAAAGTGAATTTTTGTGTCACCAATACGGTGACAAATAGGTTCATCATTGTTCAACAAACAATATAACAACTGAGAAAATAACAGTACAAGTTACAGATCATTCGGTCATCATTAATCTATATAAGTGTATGATTTCTTATTTCTTTCATATGATTGAATTCACTGATGCAATGATAGTTGGCAATATGAAACAATTTGAGTACGTTTGCTACATTGGTATGTTAATTTGGTTGAATGTACACTATTTCTACCTATGCGTGATATGAATACCGATTTCATCTACGATTTTGTTTTTGTATCCATTTATAATAGAGCTGTGGATGTTATGGCCGGCGTCGTTATTTTTTCGGCTACGAACAAATTGACAAAGAGGAAGAACTGAATATAGAAGAAGTCGACGATAGTCTTGTTCATAATTTCATTAGTATTTTCATGACCGAAGTTAAAGTGAAATTTGTATTATTGCTGCTTTAGTATCGACATACATTGTTAAATATTGCTCCAATTACTCGAATGCGAATAAATCGTTGGATAAATGAAGGATATTTATGCTCCATTGTCAATCTTCACTATATAGTATTTATACTATGTATATCATTCTGACGGACATATATATATATATATTAATAATTCTACATGTTATACTCAATTTACAAGCATGATCAAATTGATTGTATTTGTGCTTGTACGTTATATGGAGTTATCTCCATTTTCGAGGCTACATAAAAGGGCAATCTTATTATTCTATCGCTATTGTGATGCGTCGGATCCATATCAGATACATAAAAAAAAAATTTCTTGAGTTCTCCTTCGATGGCAATAAAATTTCTATAGTATAGCCTTTTTCTGACATATGTATTATTGACTGTTTATTGTAATATATCCTTTTTACATTGCTCGTTTATAAATAGAAAACTATTTCAATATTCTTTTCGGTTTACGTATGGATATTCTTTGGAGAATCCTATTACCACATTCACACTCAACACTGACCACAGGCGAAAACCTTTTATAGGTTGAACATATTCGATGGCAATATCAGGATAGTTAGTGATTATGTGGAATATGAAGTTAAATGTTTATTGTTATTTCACTATAACATCATACCGTTCTACCGTTACTTGAAAAAAATCGTTCATTGGTACTAAAAATTAGTTTTGCGGGATTAGCAATTTCACTCTCGTCGAACCATGTGGAAAAAAGGACAAAAAAAAAACAATCTTTACTTGAAATTCGCATCGCCGATACCTTACTTATATATTTAATGAATTTATTGAGTGGTTTCAAGAAGTAGAAGATAGTCATATATTGGGTTTAGAAACTTTCGCATTGCTCGTTAAATAAGATTCTGAATCTATTTTAATATTGAATTATAATCGTCTCTCTTTAACTTGTTCGGTGAAAAAAAGTAAATATCGAAATACTGATAAATATTGTTTCGTTTCATCATTTTCAATACAAATTTTTGCCAACACCGAATTTTGAATGACGATATATTCTTATTATCATCAAGTATTATCGTACAAATATTAATTTAGAAGCTGAAAATGTCAAATTAATTTTAGGATGATGATTACTTTTGTTTAGCATTGTTAATAATTTCTTTTTTTGGAAATGAACAAAGCAATAATAACAACAATCAATTACTATGTCAATCAAAAAATCATCTTATTGTTTCATTAATTTGTCAAATTTCATTTTAATCCTAAACTAATATTTTGTTTGTATGAGATATGAGCAAGGTTTTTTTACATGATAAACAAAGAGACACTGTTCTTATCTTGTCAGTTTATAAAGATACAAATAACTAAGATGTATAATTGACATTTGCGCATTATAAAACAATAAGTTAGAGTGACGTAATTATGACTTCTTTAAAATTGATATTGTTTATTCTTGCATATATTGTAATAAATGTCAAAGGAATATGTGACCGTCAAAGTGGTCCAGTTGGAAGTATCGAATGTTCTTTCAATCCAGATTTCGATAAAAAACAATGGAATACTTGCCTTACAAACAATTATATCCAACGGCAATCACAAGGACGAGAAAAGTGTGCTGATCAAACAGATATTTATTGTACGTATGCATGTATGCCTGAAGTATATTACGTAAGAGATGGCAACGTAGTTGACACATGTGCTTGTAACGATTCATTAGTACCACCGACTTCTTCATTACCTACTGAATGTTTGAGTCCTGATGGATCGAATTGTGATTGGTACAAAAATTGTCTCGAACGTAAATATTCATGTCAAGGTAGTTCAACTGAACATCTTTTCATGTATACCACAATCTTCTGTAATCTATACATAAAACATAAAAATGTATTTACTGATCGGGCACTACGTTGGATCAATGATGGACGTAAATGCTTACAAGTAGCTCTTGTTCCGTTTATTCGACCATTTGTTAATGGAACTTGTCAAGAAATTCATGATGCAGCATTTGATGCATTCAAATCTTGCAATATTAAACCTTATCCAGAAGAAGGATCAATTTGTGATATGACCAGACGAGATTGGTTACGAGCATTTTGGATGATGAAATCAGAATAAAGTGTATTGACATCAACAGCAGCTTATGCTTGGTTACAAAATGCACTCGATACTTTCTATGAATGTCAAAATGATCCGCAAGCAAATGATTTTGGACATGTCTATCAAGAATTTAAACTTACAATTGATCTTATTCAAACATCATGGAATAATCAAATCAATTTAAATAAAAATCAATTTGATCAAATTGCAGTCGATATTGCCCATAGAATTGCTAAATTTCTCATGGCACCATCAGAACGATGGGGATGGTATGCATATGGAATACCTTTATCAATACAACGTAGTATTAGTACATATAAACAAATGACTATTGCACTACTTGTTGCTGACTTGCCTGGAATCATCAATGATACATTGATACCACCCGTTAACATAACTAATATCGAGTTTAAAGAGCTCATCCAGAAGCTTAAAAATGCACTAGTCAAAGGTGATTTGCAAATACAGAATGATAATGGAATATTTTACGTATCACAGATGGGTCATTGCATTGATATGAAATGTCACGCAACAATAGATGATATTATGGCTCCTCCATATGGTTCCAAGAGTAATGGCAATAAGAGCTGTTTTTCAATGATGTCTCTTCTTCTCGTTACACTGATATTTTTTCTGTAATCGAATTCATTTTTACTGATCTATATCAATTGAATAAATGTTTTTCTGATTGAAAATTTGAGTTGCTAATCAAAGATTATACTCTTATATTTTCATATGTTACACCATTTTCACAATCATCAACAATTCATTCAATATGATACAAGTAATCAAGACATTTATATAACTCGACCAGTATTCACACACATACTTTCTAAATTTGATTAGAATACAACATCTCTCACCGAAAGCTATTCTGCTAATAGTGTCTTTCTAATATTCAATTAAAGCGAACTCTACCAAGGGATTTTGCTGAGTGATCAAGTTCTTGGACCAGTGACCTAACAGAGAACGATTAAAAACGAAATTCAAGAAATACATCACAATACAGTTCAATTAATCTTATGATGCTTGCAAAACTTTGAATAACTTGTTCACATTTAATATCAAAATTATATTCTACAGCTTATTTACATAAAATATTCAACATACTATTACACATGCTGTTTTTTTCTCTCTCCTGATGATATTTATATTACTTTGAGTGATTCCTTGTAGGAATCATTCGCAATTCTATATGCTGTAAAACAGTTGATAAACGACAAAATTGTATTATAGCAATATTATGAAGTAGTTCATCAAGCATATATGTCAAACCTTCGATGAGCTTAACACTTTTTTTTCATAAAATTTCATATAGAGTTCACCATGAAAAAGTATGTTGACTTTAAAGTTATCACCAGCTATTTATTGATAGATGAACTTGTCCTTCACGAAGATGTACAGTAGTCTCCAATATATAACAATAGAAGACTTATAGTACGATGAAAACTCTTTATATACTTCTTGGATTGAGTATTTGTGTTTATATTTATCTCGTTCTAATTCATTGGAAGATAATAGATCCTTCTGACTATTTCAAGTCAGTCGTGACTTAACTTTTGAAACATATCTCTGATGATGATTGTGATCAACTAGTGCATATCGATGTTTTCTACAAGTAATTCAATGATTGTAGTTTAGCTTCTGGACTAATTCGATATATTTAGCTCACCGACCAGTGTTTTATTAATTGAATATCTCATCATATTCAATTTGATTGTGATACTATACTCTTGTATTTTGCAATAAATTAAATAATTACATATCGATCTCATTTTGTGTTAAGCATAAAAACCTTTTTTTTTTTCTTGTTTAAAAATAAAATTTTATCTTAATCCGTATAAAAAAAAAACAAAAAGGAAAAAAAATATATGTATATAAAGTTCACAATTTTTTTAATCGATTTAATTGTTCAATATCATTAAATATTGATGATATAGATGAATAATATGAAAGTAAATCATCAAGTAGTGCTCGATAATTTTCATCAATTGTTGATAAAACTATATCAATTTGGGGAAGTTTTGTTAATTCAACAAGAATATGAAAACAAAATTTTATATATGAAAATGATAATATTTCTGATTTATGTTCTTGTTGATAATGTTGTTCAGCTTGAATCATTATACGACTAATATTAATAATTATTTCAATTAATTTTATTGTTGCACAATCAAATGATTGAAGAGAATTTTTTTCTGGTAAATGAAGAATAAATGAACATTGATCTTTAATATCATTTGAATTTAATAATGTATTTGAATATATTTTATTTAAACGTATTTGTTCAAGTTCATTATATGAAAGACTATTATCATTATTTACTTTTGATATTATTTGATTTGTTCGTATACGTCGTTTTTCTCTTGGAATTTGTTTACGTCGACATGTATAATATTCTGAAAGAATAATTTGATTATGTGGTTGTAATTTTATACATTCTTTTAATATTAATTCATGCAAACGATCATCACGAGACATTTTATATGCTGATGCTTTATGATATAAAGCATAAAAATTATTTTTATCTTCTTTTAATACTATATCACAATCATCAATTGCTTTTTGTGGCTAAAAGAAATAATTTTTCTTTTTTTTTTTTCTAGTTCAATATAAATAATTGTTTTAATCTACCTCAAATACATTTAAATAACATGCAGCTCGTTTTAAATAAGAATATGTTGTAGTAGATTGAAATTCAATACAAAATGTATAACATCGAATAGCAAGAATAAAACAACCATCAATATATAATTGATCAGCATGTTTACGATACCATTCATATGAATTATTTTCTGAATATTCATTTTTCGTTTTTAAATAAATTAAATAATGTTCATCATCATTTTTATTATCAGTTAATTTTTCCCGCCATTTTTCATCTGTAGTAGAATTTAATTCTGTCTCTAATCTAAATATATATAGATAGATCAATGGGTTCAGTACCATTTAAATCTCGACATGATAAATTAATTAAAAGATTAAATAATAAACAACGTCAAATTATATATGAAAAATGGAAATATGAAATTGAAAATTATGATATTATACAATGTAGTATTACATTCGATAATATCAATGAGAAAAATACTTCTATGGAATTGAATACTAATTCAAGTATTACAATGGAATAAAGAAAAAAAAAACAATCAGAATAAACAATAAAAGGATAGTTTTTATTACTTAATAAATATAATCTATTATTTTCAAGAGTATTTGTAAAACTAGTGAACACCCTCTAAATCAGAAAGTGATACCACTAGTAGATAGAGCTCGATGAGCTGATTCTACAAATATCCATATCTTTTGACAATGAGTAGTCCTACTCGAATTAGGTACATGCCCAACCGTTCATATACTTGCATAAAGAAAATAGCAGGGACCAACTTTTTCAATTTTAAGCTTCATACTTTAATTTCGCTTACATATTTCGAATTCGATTATAAGGCTTACAATTGAAAAAGTCGGTCTCTGCTATTTTCTTTATACAAGTATATGCAAGGCTGGGCATGTACCTAGGGCTACTTACTGTCAAAAGATATGGGTGTTCGTAGATGCGAAAGAATAGTATGCATTGGACAATCACTCCTATATTCAACCATTTTGAGTGTTTGTAGACTCAGCTCACCAAGCTCTATCTACTAGTAGTATCACTTTCCGATTTGGAGGATGTTCACTTGTTTTACAAATATCCTATTTTCAATTGACAATTGTATAACAGGATAGCTTAAAAGCGATAAAATCTCTTTTTTTTTTGTAAGCATTCATAGACTAACATCAAATCTGTTGAACTGAAAATAAGGCAAATTATCCAATGTTGCGTATGCTGAATTATGTTTAGCAATACGTAGCTGTATATTTAAAAAAAAAAAAGAAAAGGCGATAAACATACAAACAGAACTCATATATATATGGTCAATTTTTTCATCAAAACCGACAGAGTTTTAAAATATTTATGTACTGAGATACAAAAGAAATTATCAATGATATGATTAGTATATAGATTTCTATAAAACTAAGAAAATTTGAAAATGATTCAAATTTATGACAATGCTTTTTTCATTGAATAAAAAATAATTTCATAATAAAGATTGAAAACTTACTTTTCACATGCTCGTTGTGTAACACGATAATTAAAATTATTAGTTGATACACGTTCATAATCAGCATAACTGAAGAGTAAACTAAAATTTAGAAAATATATTAAATAGAATATCTTTTTAATATTAAAAAAACAAAAAAATTTACAATTTTTCATTTTCAAATGCTCTAGCACGACAAAATAATATATCACTATCGTTTTTATTATATTGTAAAGCTTCAGTAGCATATTGAATAGCATGTATATTATCATTAAGTTTTAAATAACATTCAGCACAAATAGTCAATATTTGAACAATATATTCTGTATAATAATGATAATCTAAAATAAATAATTCAAAAAAAAATCGATATATATATATATATCTAATTTTTTTTTACCAAGTATGCCATTGTGAAGCATTTTTTTTGATACATCAATAGCATTTTTATAATTATTTGATTCACTAAATCTTTCAATATCACCCATAATTTTATTAAGTGACCATGGTATAGAATTTTTTGACCATGGTCGATCATCATATGATGAAAATCGATGATTTGGTTGAGATTTAACTAAATCATGTAACCAATTTTGTATAGTTAAACCAAAATTTGAATTTGAAATAGTATCAGTAATTGATATACTTCGCGTATATGTATCATTATGATTTGTCCATGAATTTGAAAAACTCTATTTATTAATAGATATACAATAGATTATTGTGTCTAATATTACTATTCATAGTTAATATATATTATTAATAAATCGTTATTGATATGTGATCTTTAGAAAAAGAATGAAAAAGTAGAACCCGTCGATTTGAAATTCATATCAATACTAGATTGATAAGTTTATATTGAACTATTTCATCTGTGAATAGTAATAATTGATGTATTCATTTTTTTCTTTCGGAATATAACAAAAAATCTCAAAAGAATTCGTTTACTATTCATATTCTACTTAGCAACGATGATATATATATATATATATATACTCAAAATAATTGTATTATGTTTTTATTTATTACTCTATCAATTAGTCCGTTTGACTTTTTTTTTCTTCTTTTTTTGAATACTAACTGTATTTGATTTATATGTTGGAGAATTCTTTGATATTGATGGTATATTATGATTATTTAGTTTATCATGTAAATCATCATAATCAGTACTTAGTTGATGATGATGATATATATTTGAAGTATTATATTGTTTATGATTTTCATTCATTCCAATAGCAATACTATCATCAATTGTCGTATTTATAATTGTTTGTTTTATTGATGTTGGTTCGAATGGTTTTCGATTATTTGATTCTGGTGTATCAGAATCATTATTATTAGTTGGTGATACATTTCCACTACGTGCAATATGTTCTTCATCATCACTTAAATTTTCTACTATACCACCATTAGCTTCATCACCTAATGCCATATCATCTTCATCATCATGTAATGATGATAATTGATATTGATTTGTATGATGATCAAATTCAACATTAAAATTAGAATGTATATTTTGATTTTGAGAAATATCTATATTCATAGAATGACTCATGGTATTGTTTACTTGTTGTTCTTCTTTATCTTCGATTTCTAATGATGGAATTTGTAAAGATATAGTCTAATAAAATCTTTGTAAGAAAAAGATGATTAATAAAAAAAAAAGAAATAATTTACAGTTGGTGATTCAACTTTATTATCACTGGCAATTAAATTACTATTCATATGTCGAACAGTTAAAACATTATTTAATAAGTTCTAAAAAAAAAAAAAACAGAAAATTCAAAATAAAAGAAATATTATTGAATTAATTCAATCGAAGTTTTTTTTTTTTTCTAAAACTTTCTATAAATCTAAATCAAACAATTGTTTGAAAAGATTTTCTGTTGATTGAAACAAAAAGAAATTAATTACGTACATATATATAGTCTTGCAAGCAAAATCTTCTAAGTTCGATATAATACAAGAGAAATCTTCCAATGGATACTTTAAAAAAAATGCGAACTTTTAATTGATTGCAGTAGGAGTCTACGAAAGATGCGCACAGCGAAAGTTTCGCGCCGAAAGATGCGCACCGAAAGTTGCGCACGACGAAACTTGCGCAAGGAAAGATGCGCACGACGAATCTTGCGCACGATATATATATACTCACAAATATTTATAAAGAAACAAAAACAAAAAACATAGACTAGGCCGTTCTTTTTATTTCATTTAATAGTGATACGGAAATCTGTTATCAATCCAGACTATTCATTTCTGTTAGCGTCTTGTTCCATATCACTATTGAATGAAATAAAAAGAGGGTGGGGTGTGGGTAGGTATCCATTAGGTCATCACCCACACCTCACACCCACGCCCTAGTAATATTGTATGTATTTTTATGGACGGTATCATCAACTCTTGTTTTTGGTGTCTTATTCATAAATCTAAATATTTCAATTTAAGATTCTAAGAAATAAATAAAACTATAAATTGTTTGTGTTTTTTCTATCGAAGTAAAACTGATTATTAGACAATTCGTGCGCAACTTTCGCCGTGCACATCTTTCGGGATCCCCTGTAACATGTAGTAAAAAAAAATCGTAGAATACTTTTCAGAATATTCATAGTTCATTAGAATATAGTCTTGATTAAAAAGCAACTTAATTTCTTTGTTAGAATGAAAAAAATTCTTCTTCTATACTTTATTATTACTCATTGGAATAAATATTTTTCTTAGTCAAACAAACAAAAACAAAAAAAAACTTTACTTGTGCTTCATCATTATCAGGTTCAATTATAAGAATATTATCAAGATCATTTTTTGCTTTATCATATTGTTGTTTAGCAAAATAACATGAAGCTCGACGAAATAAAGCTAACAAAAAAAAAAACAATTTATTAATAAGATTCTCAATTATTTCATATAAAATAACCTTGAATATCTTTTGAATTAATTGATAATACTTGAGAACAATCTTGTATAGATGAATCAAAATTATCTAATTTAAAAACTAAATCAACAAAAAATAAAATCATTGAATGAAAAATAACCAAATAAAAATTAATTTTAACATACATGCTATTGCTCGTTTCATATAAGTTATTGGATTTTTATCAAGTGTAATACTTTTTGTATATAAATCAATTGATTGTTGATAATTATTTAATTTAAATGCTGTATCTCCATTAAGACGATGTTGTTCAGCTGTATGAATACGTTTACGATCTTCATAAGATTGAGTTCCTAATTAATAAAAAAATAAAAAAATGAATTTTTTTTTTTCATATCAAATACACAAAATATTACTTAATAATTCATTATTATCACTAATATTATCTTCCCAATCCGTATTAAATTCAGAAGAAACTTGCTGTTCAAAACTATAATAATTAAAAGAAAAGTATTATGTTTCTAATGATTTATATATATTTACTTTGCCCATTCTTCATTACTTTTTGGTACTGTTACTTTAAAATCATTATTTATGATAGGTTCGGAAATAGTAGCATTGCCCTAATAAAACAAAATTAATGAATAGATAATTTTTTTTTTTTTTTGTCGAATGAATCAATACACACATTATTGATATTTGAAGAATTAGATATTGAATGAATAACATTAGTAATTTGTTGTGATTCATTATTCGATGAAGTTGATTTATTATTGATTGAAATTTGATCTTGTCGAAATGTTTGACTAGAGATAAATTAAATGAAAATAATTTTTCTATGATTTTCTTTAATTTTTTTTTTGTTTTTCATAACTACTTTGTTGATTGAATCTTTCGAATTCGATCAATTGTTAATTGTTCCAAAATTTTATGTGAACCAACTTCTCCACTTCTATTTTTTATTTTTTTTTTAATATAGAAATAAATTTAACATTTAATAAAAATAGAAAAATAAATAAGTTTTTTATGTTCTTTTTTTTTTTTTTTCTTTACATTAATACTTTGAGTATTTGTTCAAGTTCAATTCCATCTGTACATTGTTCTATATATGTATGATCGATATGATTTAATGGTATATGATATTTTTTTGTATGACTTGTGAGCACACTTGTTGCATCATTCATCTAGAAAACTATTCGATTTACTTATTTTAGTACCTTAACATCTGTTTGTCTTTTATCTTTTTTTATTCAAGTTAAGGACATTCCTGTCGTTATCTATGCATCAACACCTCGATGAATAAACGAATTGTTTGATGTATTTCTCTATTCTTTCAGTATTTCTAATTAAAAATAGATAGATCTAGAAAGATAAATGTATTAGTAATACATATCTCACTTATCTTTAGTAAGACGCCATATAATGTAATATTGGCATGTAATGGATAGAAAAAAAAAAAGCAAGGAAAGAATATCATCGAGCAATACAACATTCATATAAGATAAGATATATTGAGAACATATAAATGTAAGAAGAAACTAATGGTTTGCTTGTCAGTTGGATTAGTTGCACCTACATATAAACATACTGAAGATATATATATACAAGAGAAGAACAAGAAGCAAAGAAATATGATTTTCAATCAATTAATATTTTTTCTTTTATTCATACTTATTTTAAATACTGTTACAGCTCGATTACAACATCCATTTAAACAATGTTCACGTATGTATTTATTTTGATTAGTAATTTCTATTATTATTATTGATATTTTTTTCTTTTTAGCAAGAAGTACTGGTGAAATTGTTAAAGCTTCCGTCAATGCTCCATGTGGCAATGAATATTGCACATTTTACAAAGGCACTGATGCTCGTCTTGAATTTACATTTAAATTACGTAAGATAATTAAAAAATAATTTCCAAAAGAAAACAAAAAAAAAAAAATATTCTTTTTCTCTTTCTAATAGGAAAGAAAGCTCATAAAGTACGAGCTAAAGTAATGGCAACAATTGGTACAGTTGATCATGATTTTGCTTTACCAAATCATGATGTTTGTCAACAACTTGGTTGTCCACTTCAAGCTGATACTGCTTATTCATATCATAATAGCATGTTTGTTAGTCCAACATATCCATCTGTATGTTAGACAAACTATTGTTTTTCAGGCTTCTATTAACATTAATTCAATATAAACATATTTTTTTATGTTTTTTCTTCGAATAGGTTAAAGTCAATCAAATGCGATACTATTTAATCGATGGTAAAGGACGTGAGCTTGCCTGTGTCTCATTACCCGTAATGATTACTGAAAAAGACTCGAAACAATAAGTGGTAGCGAACACTGCATACATTTCTTTGTTAAGAACAAAAACATTTTTTTTTGTCAAGCATATATATATATGTGTGTGTGTCTCGTTTTGAATTTTTTTCACTCCTCTTCTTTTCTTTGTCAAAAAAAAAACATTTTTTTTTTTTTTTTTTTGAAATTAAGTAAAACGTAATAAAAGAATATGAAAAAATAGAGTATTCAATTCCATTAGAAAATAAGAGAGGAGGTAAAACAACACCAAACAAACAACAACAATGCCGTTATATATGGAAGATATACTTGCTACAGATCCTAATCGATCAACAGGTAAATAGATGTAACTATTAATCAAAATTTTTATCTAATTTATAAGATTCGGCAACTGAATATCGTACACGTTATATGTCACCACGTCGAGAAGATTATATTCCACATGTAGTTTTACCAAAAATTAGTACAAATCGACCACCATCACGTAGTCGTTCATTTCTTTCATATGATGTTGATTCAAATTCAACATTAACAGCATCAGAATATCGTCTACGTTTTCCTAATCATCATCCAAAACGACCATATGTTTTTCATGCTCAACCAAGTCATGTTTTTGATTTTGTACCAATGCCAATTAATTCAAGAGTTTCACCTCGAATTGATCCATCACCATCATTTATAAAAGATACTGAATATCATGAACGTTTTCCAAATTATCGTTCATATGTACCAATTCAAGAATTAGTTCCACCACATCTACCTTCTCAACCAAATATGCCATCAGCAACACAAATAAAACGAGAACGTATGACACGTAGTCAATATTTTCATGAACTTATTACAGATAGTGATAAATATAATGGTGGACATCGATATGTTGGTAATAGTGAACAACGTACTGCTTTTCAATGGCCTTATCATATGCAACAGCAACAACAACAACAACAACAACAACAACAGCCAATATCTTACTCAACAATGAATATGTATAATCAAATACCACCAATTTATCGAGAAGTACTCAATGCTTCGAATTAAATTTGTTCGAAAGACCAAAAAGAAAAAAGAAAAATTAAAGAAACACAAGAATTGAGTTCAACATTTTAATTTAATAAAGAATATAACTAATTTTTTTTTTCTTCTACTAAATACGTTCGGCTATATAGATACCGAAACGACAACCCATTTTAATAACACTTGTTAAACCTTGATAGAAAGGTGCCTTTAAAAAATAAATAAAATAAATAAAATTTAATAAAATAATATTTATTTACTTGTTCAGCTTTATTAGCTAAACCTGTATCAAGATGTTGAGTTTCATCATCACGAAATTTTTTAATTGTCTTTAAACAAAAAAAAAAAGAAATTTTCAATTCTAATTCATAATATCTTTATTTCAATGTCTTACTTCCATTAATTCTTTATCTTTGGTATGATCGGCATGTTCCATTAAATCACGTAATTGACTATAAATTGAAAATGTTGAACAAAAAAAAACAAAAAAACTTACATATTTGAAATTTTCTCACTCGTTATAATGTTCACTAATAACAGCTTCTACAGCTACTGTACATGCCATAGCTGCTTCTTTACCTAGTAAAGCTGTTCCAGCACCTAGAATAAAATAAAAAAAAAAAACAAACATTATTTTTCCATTCTACAATCTTACAAAAAAAACGAAAATTTATTTTACCTAATGCATAACCAGCAACATTCCATAATGGTAATAATACTGATGGTCGAGCTTTATATTTAGGTATTAATTCATTAAATTTTGCCAAATGTGCTTTTTCTTCATCCCACATATGCTATTCATATAAAAGATGATATATAGATAAAAAAAAAATTTTTTTTTTCCTTTGTTTTAATTATTTAATAACAAATATACTTGAATTGTTGGTCCAACATCTGTACGACCTAAAATTGCCATTTGACCAGCATAAATTCTATCAGCAGCTAATTCTCCAGCATGATCAACACGTATAATTTTATCAAAAAGTTCTTGAGTTTTTTGTTCTGGTTTAACTTCAAATGAAGTTAATGATGATAAAAATCGACTAGATTCAGATCGAGATATTCTTTTTAATAATAAACGTGACATAATCATTATCTATAAAGTCAATATATAAACTTCATAATTTATATATAAAAATACAAATAAAAGGTAAACAATTCAAGTCAGTACTATAAAAAAAAAGAAAACAAGCGAATACAAAATGAAAAAAAGAAAATTCGAACCTCAGAAGAAGCTTGTGAATTCTCTTGCAAGAATAGTTGCGTGTAGCGATATGGGAAAAATATTCCTTAATTAGTGAAAATAATTTTAACTGTAATCTCAGAAATTTTTTCTGTTACGATTTTAAATATATTTAAAAAAAAACTAGATTATTCGGATACGGTAGGTTTCAATACTGAATTTGCTTTATTCCATTCGATTAAAGCAAATGGTGGTTCATTTTGAAGATCTTTCGTTTCACCATATGGACATGTTATTAAATGTTGAGTTAATGATGTTGATTTGTTTGGAGTTTTTAATTGCCATTTTGGAACTGCAGATGAAGTATTTGTAAATAACCAATGCTAAAACAAAATTTATTACAAAAGCAAAAAAAAAGAAATATTCATACCGAATGGTTCATTAATAATGAATCTCTCTATATTTTGACAATAAAGTTTTATTTTTATCATCCTTTAAAAGTGATCATTTTTCGAAACAAATAACTTTAGTTTTCATCAGTTATGTAGTTTTGTAAAGATTGAAAATCTGAATTTTTTCATGTCCTTATAGAGATTTTGCAATTCAAACGAAAAAAAAATATTAATATTTCAAAAAATTTGACTATGAAAGATGCTTTCAGTCTCTCAGTAAAGCTTAGATATTCCAAAGTAGATCAGCCCAATATAGGATATTTTTCAATAGAAAATTCTTTACTTTTTAGACTCATCTTCATACTTCTACGACGCACGAGTTATGATGCATCACAACGGAAATAAAGAAGATTTTCGTGCAAAGACAATATGTTTTTCTTAAAAGTAAAGTTCCTAATTTTGTAAAGCTTGACGTTTTCTCTCGTTTGGTATATAAATCAAAGGAAAGTTACATTTAAATTTAATACGATTCACTATTATCGAATCGTTAGAATTACGGTAAAATTTCGCTGTTGAAACTAGTTCAGGAATTATTTCTTTTCCTAAGAGTTCTAGAAAATTCAGAATAAAATAATTGAATTTTTGAGCGATCATCAAATAGAAGAAAATCGAAACAATTCTCAATGATTGATTTATTTATAATTCTAGTCGGCGGAGCTTTTCAAGTGTTACAAAATATGTTTATTTTCTTCCAGAGCGATCATTCGAATCATCGAAAATAGCATCATAGATGGCTTGAAACATAGTTTTACTATATTTTACGAGTTTACGCAAAACGGTGAGGTAAAGACATTGATATTATATTGTTTATGATACCGTTTTTCTTCAACCTGAGTTTCTACTTACTCCATTAGTGAAAAAACGTTTCCAACTGATCAATTATTCTTGAATCAATAATAAGATTTGTTTAGCTTAAAAAGTTGATTTACAAGTCTAAGAATTCTAAATGCTTCGTTTAATTTCTATTTTTTCTCTTAATTTTCTATAGAAATATGTTCGATAGATAATTTCAACATGTATGTTTTTATAAAAACAATCAAGTTTAAGAACGAAAAAGATATTAATTCATTATTCAAAATATAGAAAATATTATTATTATTATTATTATTTATGAATTATTAAATAAATAAAATATATTATTACTTTTTGTCGTTCGATCCAAGTAACATCTCCATGTGAAAGTATATTACGTTCATGTTCAGTAACTACAATACCTCGTGAAGGTAATAAATCTTGACATAAGTCACGTAAACGCTAAAGTTTCAACACAATTAAATATTTGTTCGAAAAACAAAAAAAAACAATACAAAAATAGTTATTCTTACACGACAAACAAGTGAAATATTTCTTAATGATAAACTATCCAATTTAAGTAGAATATTCGTAAGTATTTCTGATGGTAATCGAAAAAAATCTAATTCATTATTATAATCTTCATTTATATTTGGATACCAATCAAAAGCAATAGCATCATTCATTTGATCAAAACGTATTTGAATTGATTGTCCATTAAATTGACATGGTTCAAGACGTTCATATTGAAATTTACAACCATATTGAGATTTTGGACATTGTTGAATAAGTGATAAATTAAGAATACAATCAATACGAAAATGTATATGCCAATGTTGTTCAATTTCATCTCGACGACATAAAGCATGACAATAAAATACAGGTCTTTTATTAAATGATGTTAATGGTTTATAATGTGTATTTGAAGAAAAATAATTTAAACGATAAATAAATGATGTTGGTAATTCCATATCAGATATAATAGACATTGAATTATTTTCAACTGATTCTGTTATTGAATTTGTTGTCAAAGAATTTGAAGATGAAAGTTTTGATATATCAGATGAATTAACTAATGTGGAAGACATTTTGACTAGAGATGGTACTAATATTTTATCAGAAGAAATATCATAATTTAAATTAAAATCAATCATTTGTTTTCGTTCCTCTGAAATCACAAAATTTTCATAATAATGAGTCTTATTTGCAATTAGTTTGTTGGTCAAACACACACATATATATATATATATATGAATATTAATAAAATACAATCTGAGTGCTATTGTATCTAAGACTGATACCAATCAATAGATTTTGAGAATTTTCTAGCCTTCATTTTGAATCATTCTGAGTAAAAAGGTTCAAAAAATTAATGTACAGAAAAAGAACTTTAACTGAAGTTATGAGATGAATACCTCATGGCTTGAGTCAGCTCAAAATAGGTAGCAGAATTACATTTGATTTCATATTTCAAATATTTTTATTTTGTTGAGTTTTTGATTCAGATTGCGTTTCAATAGACTCAGAATTATAAACTCAATCGATTAGTATATGATGTTCAGTGTGTATCAAAATGTATTTTACTAGTACTCCTGATTTGTTACTAAGGACAGTTTCTTTTCTTTCATGTCTCCAAAAGTGTAACTTAGTATTGAAGGTAAAGAGTGCTATGTGAACAATTGTCAAATACTGATCTCTTTTTCTCTATCGTCTTCATATCATATGCTAGCAAGACGATTTAGAAGGAAAAAAATGAAAGTAATAAGTTCATATATGATCATTTTTTTATTTATATGCGTAGCCAATAAGATATTTACAAATATGACTCATTATTTAATTAATATTGATCTAGATTACCTTCACTAAGTTCTGATAGACGTTGATCTTCATTTTCTTCTAATTGTCTAAGATGTTTTCGACATGTACTACATATAACACCATCACTTCTACTTAACATACATTCAGGCATTGTTATATAACGATATTTTTCACTACGAATAATATGTTCAATTTGAGTATTTTTTAATTTTTTATTTCTTAAATTTGAATATATTTGTTGTTGTTTATTTTGAAATGCCATAATATGTTCATGCCATATATTATCACGATAAGCAATTATTTCTATAAGATTTTTATTTGTAGAATTTTCTAAATTATTTAAATAATATTCATGATGATACATAAATGAACAAACTGTTATTGATGCTGGACATATACGTAAATGTCGTGAAAGATCAGAACGTCGAATTATAGATGGACAACCATAATTAACATTTAAACATGAAATAAAAGCATTTGAACATATATATTCATGATCTTGACGTTTACATTCATGCATACGAGCAAAACATCCATTAGGACAATAAATTAATGGACAAGAAGATATATGAAGACAATTAACTAGAAAACATTTATTACAATGTTCATGTGCCATCTGAAAAAAAATAATAAGATCGATCGATGTATAATAAACGTTTATTATTGAAAAATTATATTATTATTATTATTTTTGAGATACACTAAAAGATTCCTATTGTAGTAGAAAAGATAAAAATACACATAAAATCACCAGTTATGTTAAAAACCATAAAACAAAAAAAAAAAACACAGATTAAACATGATATTAAAAAAAAAAAAAAACCAAACAAACCCAACATTTAATTTTTTTTTTTTTTTTAAATAAAATCAAAAAAAAATAAAAATTATATTTTCATTAAGATGTATTTTTATCCATAGAAGAATTTTGTTCAATAGAAATATTATTATCCGTTGTTGCTATTTGTTTTGAACGTTTATTAATTGTTTGATTAGAATCATGACTACTAGTATCAATACGTTTACTTATTTGTAATTGATCTGTTGTTGTTGTTGTTGTTGTTTGTAATCTTGTTTTTGTTCGATGTGTTATTACTTGAGGAGCAATATATGGAATAAGTTTTGATATACTACCAATAGCTTTTGTACGTCCTTCACGAAAGATAAGTTTCATACCAAGTCGAAGATATTCAGGTGATTTTAAAAAACGAAATAAAACATTTGCACGATCACCTGTTCGTAAATTTTCAACAGGTAATGAAACAATTGTTGCTGTTTGACGAATACTACCGCAATGAACTGAAAGAATAGTTTTTTTATATTTTTTTTTTCAAAAAAAACATAAAAACGATTCTGTCAGATAGAATAATCGATCATCATTTAACAAATCATTTATATCGTTTTCTAGAGCAATTCATAATAGATTTTTTATAATATGAGATGTCATATAGTAATTGTAGATTATATAACCAAAAATTAGGATTCAATATGTTTCTAAAACGAACCTTGTCTTATCTTCTTTCGTATATATTTAATAATAATCATAATAGCTTTCATGATACCCTAAAAACCTTAACATTTTTACTAGATTTGATAATTTTTGACTTTTTCAATTCTTCTATATTCAAAGAAATTAAGTATCAGCAAGTCTAGAAAATCATTTCTAAGGACAGAAAAGTACATGAGTTTGAAAATAAATACTTTTTGAATAAAAAAGAATTTTTGTTTTCAGAGTATGAGAATACACCAAAAATTTTCATTCATATAAGAGATCGAACATATATTGAATTTAATAAAGCTCCGTGCTTTGATCTCATATGACTACTCAAAATTTAAATTCATAAGAAACAAAAGAAAATTTTAAAAAAAACTAATTTTTCTAATTTTTTGCAAGATTCATATTTGTTGAATAATTTTAAATATACACAATTGCAGATAAAACTAAACTGATAGAGTCTAATGAGTAGGTTAATATTTTAGAGTGGTTCAAATTGTTGATATTTAGTAGATCTTTTTTTCTGTAGGACTTCAATTCGCCGGTGAGATCATATTTTTGAAGTTCGGGCTAAAACTGAACCCTACATAAAAGCATCGATATTTACTCTATAAAATGGTATAGACGACTTTTCAAATGACGAGTAGTTATTTTTATCTGACAGAGTTCTTTATTTACCCATAGCTTGATATTTAACACTGATTGTTGTTGGATGATGTAGAATAAGTAAATCAGCTTCGAATTCCCAATATGAAACAGGTGGAATAAGTGGAGATAAAAGGACCATACCTTTACGAAGTTCAGATTTTTTTATCTTTAAATAAATAAAATTATTCAATTATGTGAATGAACTAATTTTTTTTTTTGCAATCTTTACTTTTCTTAAAGCAAATGATGATGTTTGACCACCACGACATTCTGTAACTGGCATTCGTTTACGATGTATACCTAATCATTATAATAAATATAGTTTAAATATTTTATTTTTTTCTATAATATACTTCGTATTTGTACTGTTTTAAATTGTCCTAATGGATCAGGTCCTAATTGTAAATTATCACCAACTTTAATAATACCTTTTAATGTTGTACCACTAACAACTGTTCCAACACCAGGTACAACATATAAATCATCTATTTGAAATTCAGCTGGTTGATCAATACATGCTTCCATTCTTGTTGATAATAGATTAAGAAATTTTTTTAATAAATCTAAATTTTTTCCTGTTACATTTGATACTTGAAATATTGGACATAAACGTTCAGAAGTAAAATTTGTTGCACATGTTATTATATCATCATTATTTTGTATTAATAATGGAATTTTTCGACAACCAGCTGAACGTAAAATTTTTTGTAAAAGTTTCATTGTTTCTTCTAAAACATTTGCAGGAGCCATATCAATTTTAGTAACAACAACAAAAACAGGTACACCAAGTGCAAGTGCTAAACCCTTTTAATACAAAAACCAAAACAAAACAAGTTTTTATCAATGAAATTAATGCTATTGAAAATAAGAATATATAAATATCTTACTAAATGTTCTTTGGTCATACCAATTACACCAGCATTAGCACCAATCTAAATAAAACAAAATAATTACTATAAAATCTACTTATATTTTCTTACCATTAACATTGCGTAATCAGGAGCATATCCTGTCATACCAAATACAGTTGTTTTTAAATATTTTTCTAATAAAATATATAAAATCATTTATATTTCATAATATAATACAAAAAAATATTTTCTTACCATGTCCAGCTAAATCAATAAATGTTATCACCTGAAAATAATAAATATTTCTTTTTTTTTTTTGTCTACTAATAATTATTTAATAGAAAATTTTTTTCTTTTTTACCTTTGCTGATTTTTGGCAAATATTTGTCCAATCAAGTGATTGATTACCATGTGTGTCTGGTTGATTTACAATAACACCTTGAGCATCAAAACCAAGAATATCCTATTAATAAATATATATATATTTTGTTCGAAAGTAGTAAAATAATTTTACATTGAAAGAATTGATAAAAACTATAGCTTACGAGAGAACCTTCCGAAGTGTTAAAAAGTTTTTGAGCTCAAATTTTGTCCACAAGTACGGAATGTATAGACTAGAAAATCCTAAGATGATATTGACGCAATTTGCGATTTAGCTGAGATATCGAGTTTTTACTATTATTCTCCTATAGGATCCCATTTTCTCGGTAAACTCATAGTTTCAAATTTTAGTCTAAAACTTTGTCCACATGAAGGTCTCTATCAGACTAGCTTGCCAACAAAGTTTCAGAATTTTTAGACAAATCATCTCTGAAATATGAATATTTCAGAGATGATTTGTCTAAAAATTCTGAAACTTTGTAAGTAAGATAGTTTGATAGAGATCTTCATGTGAGTAAAGTTTCAGATCAAAATTCAAAACTATGAGTTTACTGCGAAAATGGGGTCCTATAAGAGAATAATAGTAAAAACTCGATATCTTAGCTAAATCGCAACTTGAGCCAATATCATCTTAGGATTTTTCTAGTCTATACATTCTCTACTTGTGGACAAAATTTGAACTCAAAAACTTTTTAACACCTCGGGAGGTTTCTTCGTTAGTTCAATATCATATTTTATTAGAATAGTATTCACTATTTTCGATAATTTTCATTATATTCAAAAATGAATTTATAATATACAAATAAAATCTATATCAATCAACTCTATCCATTTATATTTATTTCAATATAATTTTTTTTCTCAAAAAAAAAAAAATTCTGTTGGAATTCTCGTTCATGTAATATAGATTTACTTAGAAAATAAATTTTGAGTCTGTACAATATCAATGTAAAACAAAAAAAATTCAATAACTAACTAAGAAAATAGTATTTTTATTAAAGTTACTTTTTTGATTAGATCCTAAGAAGAGTTTCAGATTTGTTTAAAAAAAAAACATTCTTGTCGAAAACAAAAAACAAAAAGGTTTTAATCATTAAACATACACATCCAACAGATGATGTTCGTCCAGTTTCTGTTTCATGTTTATGTCGAAATAATTTTTGTCTTGCAATACCACGACCATCATCTAATATACCATGAGTTAATACACCAAGTAATGTTGATTTACCAGCATCTACATTACCAGTAACAGCCACTCTTAAATAATCAAATTTTTTTTTTTGCATCGTTAAAAACTTAAAATTATTTTTTTTTACCTAACTTCTAAAAAATCTTCTTGATCAATATGTTTTCGAATAAGATATTCATTAATAAAACGTGTATTATTTGAAAGTAATTTTTCTCTTAAGAATTGAATTTCAAAATTAAGTATAGTTTGTATACTTTTAAGTGTAGCTATTGAAGCTTCCATTTCATCATGTAATAAACCAGGTGATTCACCATCAGTAACTATAAAATTAAATATATATGTATCAAATATTTTTTTTTTTTTCTTATTAATTACTTCCTGTTCCAAGTTCAAGAATAGTTTCACCATGTCCATCATCAAGACGTTTTTTAAGATATTTACAAAGTCCATCAAATTGTTCGACATTTGGACTTATCCATGCTGTCTTTTTTGATAAATATTGTCGAATAATATCAGATTGTTGTTCATCTATTTCATTAGATATTTTTCTATTAGTTATTTCAGCAAATATTTGTATTCCATCAGCAGCAGTCGCCATTGTTGACAACTTATCTGAAATAATTATTTATTCTTATGTGATAGTCGATTGTTTTTTTTTTTTCGTCAAAATTTATAATATAAACTATGATTGCAAAAAGAAAATATTATTCTCGAACTTATTAGATTTGTTTGAAGAAAAAAAAAAGTATGAATCAACAAATATATATATATGTATCTATTATAAATAAGCTACTGAATGAATATATATATATATATATTGCACAATCATTGAAACATATTTATTTACGAATTAAAATTATGTGAAAAAATTTTCTTTTGACAATTATTTTTGATATTATTAATATTGATAGTTGAAGTTAGAAAAAAAACAAAAGAGATGAAAAATAATTCTAAGATTAGAAATAAATTTATTAGTATGGAAATATTATTGATAATTTTAAAGCAAAAAAAAAGAAAGAAATAGGTAGCTTTCATCTTATTGGTCTCTATATAGA